TTATTAAATACAAAATGTGTTAACTAATAGAAAGTTTGATGATAAGAATGATATGAAAAATTGTTGAAGATATAAGTGAGCAAAGATTAAGAATTTTAAATGCAATTAAAATATAGTGTAAGAAATAAAAATTATAATGTGAATATAATTATCATTTCTGCAATTTAATAACTTTGTAAAGGTACCTCTGTCTTTAGCATTTGAAAAGACTATTGTGATGAGTAAATGGTAAATGGATAATTATATTACCACTATAAATTTTACTAAGTGCATCACAAATTTCTTATTTACTAAAATATCCTTAAGTAAAATTATATGATCATTACAATTTTAATCCCAACCTTCCGTTAATTAGAACTTCTTGTCCTTGATGATGATTTATATAAAAATATTTTATTTTCATATTTTAAAATAAGGGAAAAATATTTGTTGGCATTTTTTATTTTTTTTACTTTTTAAAATATGATTGAAAAATAAGTTATTTTACACTATTTCAACGAACTTTTAGACAAAGAATTGTTATTAAATAAAAAATGTGTTAACTAATAGAAAGTTTGATGATAAGAATGATATGAAAAATTGTTGAAGATATAAGTGAGCAAAGATTAAGAATTTTAAATGTAATTAAAATATAGTGTAAGAAATAAAAATTATAATGTGAATATAATTATCATTTCTGCAATTTAATAACTTTGTAAAGGTACCTCTGTCTTTAGCATTTGAAAAGACCATTGTGATAAGTAAATGGTAAATGGATAATTATATTACCACTATAAATTTTACTAAGTGCACCACAAATTTCTTATTCACTAAAATATCCTTAAGTAAAATTATATGATCATTACAATTTTAATCTCAACCTTCCGTTAATTAGAACTTCTTGTCCTTGATGATGATTTATATAAAAATATTTTATTTTCATATTTTAAAATAAGGGAAAAATATTTTTTTGCATTTTTTATTTTTTTACTTTTTAAAATATGATTGAAAAATAAGTTATTTTACACTATTTCAACGGACTTTTAGACATAGAATTGTTATTAAATACAAAATGTGTTAACTAATAGAAAGTTTAATGATAAGAATGATATGAAAAATTGTTGAAGATATAAGTGAGCAAAGATTAAGAATCTTAAATACAATTAAAATATAGTGTAAGAAATAAAAATTATAATGTGAATATAATTATCATTTTTGCAATTTAATAACTTTGTAAAGGTACCTTTGTCTTTAGCATTTGAAAAGACCATTGTGATGAGTAAATGGTAAATGGATAATTATATTACCACTATAAATTTTACTAAGTGCGCCACAAATTTCTTATTCACTAAAAATCCTTAAGTAAAATTATATGATCATTACAATTTTACTCTCAACCTTCCGTTAATTAGAACTTCTTGTCCTTGATGGTGATTTATATAAAAATATTTTATTTTCATATTTTAAAATAAGGGAAAAATATTTATTTGCCTTTTTTTTTTTTTACTTTTTAAAATATGATTGAAAAATAAGTTATTTTACACTATTTCAACGGACTTTTAGACATAGAATTGTTATTAAATACAAAATGTGTTAACTAATAGAAATTTTGATGATAAGAATGATATGAAAAATTGTTGAAGATATAAGTGAGCAAAGATTAAGAATTTTAAATGCAATTAAAATATAGTGTAAGAAATAAAAATTATAATGTGAATATAATTATCATTTTTGCAATTTAATAACTTTGTAAAGGTACCTCTGTCTTTAGCATTTGAAAAGACCATTGTGATGAGTAAATGGTAAATGGATAATTATATTGCCACTATAAATTTTACTAAGTGCATCACAAATTTCTTATTTACTAAAATATGCTTAAGTAAAATTACATAATTAGAATTTTAATATACTTTTTATTTAAATAAATTATCGTTACACCACAAATATAAAGCCTAAGTGTAATTATATTACCACTACAAATTTTACTAAGTACACCACAATTTTCTTATTTACTAAAATATCCTTAAGTAGAATTACAAAATTAGAATTTTAATATACTTTTTAATTAAATAAATTATTGTTACACCATAAATATAAAGCCTAATTTTTTTTTATTTCTTTTTCCTTAACATCTCATTATTCATAGTTTTCCCAACAGCTTTTGCCTTTTTCCATGACGACAAGATAATCTTTTCCCTCACGGTAAATGAATTTATTTTTCAAGTTTGAAAATTAAGAATCTGATTTTTTTTGTTGAGTTAAACAAAGTTGTTATGATTTTAAAACAAATATGTAAGATTATGATTTTTAATTGTTAAATGGGTTTATGAATTTACGCGTATATATACTCACCATAATTTCATGAATTGCGTGCATTCGTCATGTGGGATATACACAAGTTGCACCGCTCATTATCATGATTGCATGTATATAGATAAACCGTAAATGAATTTGTGTATATATAAGTGCGTCAGTTTTCGGGGATTTTTGTCTATGAGGTATATGAATTTTCGAACGTTATTTTTAATCAACAAAATTTTTTTATTGTTATATTGTATTTTTTTACACAATCGTAATAAATTTAAATATTTTTATAAGGTTGTTGTCGATAAAATTTCTTAATTTCCACTTAAATGTGTTTCCAAAATAGACTTCCAAGATTACATTAAAAATTCACATTTCAAATAAAAATGGTAACACAAATAAATTACTGACAACTTTAAAGGATCCTTTTAGATATATTAATTGTTTGTGACAAACATTCAATTTATTATGGGATGGTGTTCTTCACCGATCTTCTGGTTTCAATTGCTATGAAATAAATGAAGGGAAATTTTTAGAAACTAAGGATTAATATTAGTGATAAGTACACCACAATATTATATTATGTTCTTTTTCAATTTTTTTTATTTTTATTGAATTAAGAGTATAATTGTAAATTTATTGTAGTGTATTTATTTAAAATATACTTTAATTGTGGTGTAATTACAATGGGATGTAATAAATAAAATTTGTAGTGGTAATATAATTAACAATAGTAAATTGGGCTTCCATGGTGAATAGTAAATGGGAAAAATTCATAACACGAGGGTATTATTTACATCAATTCAAAAGTTAAGTAAATAGTTTGAAAATTCAAAATTCAAGTATATATTTAATTAATAAATATATTTGTTAATTAAATATAACTTAATGGTCACAGATACACAATTATATATCACAATTTATTTATTGATCACATATCATCAAATTAATTAGTCACAGATGATTTTGAAGCCACAAATAAAATTTTTTATAGGTCATAGTTTATTTCGATGTCACAAATAAAAAAATTAGAGGTCACAGATTATTTCAAAATCAAATTAATTGGTCATAAGTTAACAAAATTTTAAGTCATAATTAAATTGTTGGTCATAGATAACTAAATGATTGGTCACATATGCCAAATAATAGTCACAATTTAATAGTTAGTCACAAATAATCAAATTGTTGTCACATGCACCAAACGTCCCACCTCCGGTCCAAACCTACCATCAATACTTGGTCGCAAATCAACTAAACAGTTGGCCACAGATGATATCCCACGCCGCCCCTGCCACAACACCACCACAACCACCGACAACAAAACAAATGACCACCATCACACAATCGCCGCCTACACCCCACAACCGACTCCGACACACCAGATAACACCACCTACGGATCAAAACACCTGCACAACCACCGTCTTTGCACCATCACCACCATCACCATTTGTAACTTTCGCCTGCGAAAACCACCAAAAATTTGACCAGCCAGATTGACTCCAAACCACCCTAAAAAATCTAAAGCGACGACTACGACGAGGACCACCACCTAAATCCACAGCATAGCACCACCACCTCACCACCATGACCACCACAACATAAACACTAATACCAAACTGCAGCAACATCATCAAACAATTGTAGCAACATTGCCCCAAAAATTCGACAACCACACACCGTCTAGTCACCTCACAGAATCGATCAAAAATCGAATACATCATTAGTTAGAAAGAAGCCAGATTCCCCAACTTCAATTAAAACAGATTTGTCCCTATCCACCTCTCCGCAGCCTGAGAAATGCAAAGCCCCTTTAGCACATGCTTTAGAGATGCTGACTGAGTGAATGAGATCTATCAACTCTCATTGGCTTCTTCGAGGGATTTCTTGGCGAGTCCAAGAGATGTAGAATCGCTGTTGCGACAGTCGCTGCACCTGCACTCAAAACGATAGATGTGTTGACCAACACAAAAAAAGAGAACAAGGTGTCATCACCAAAGAGAGATGGAGAAGAAGGTTGTTTGGTGGTAAAGGTGGCTGGCGATCGAAGAGAGAAGAAAGAAGTGAGAGAGAGAGAGAGAGAGAGAAGTGATAAAAAAGAGAGAAAGAGGAGAGACGAAAATAATTAGGGTTTGGAAGTTAAATTCAATAGGATGGATGGAATTGAATGGGGGTAGGTGAATATTTAACCCTTGTTTGAGTCCCCTTTTTTTTGGGAAGAATAAATTTTTGAATAGTATATTGATGGAAAATGTGTGGTTAAAAAATAAGAGAAAATTTTAAATTTGATTGTAATATTATTTTATTGAATAATGTGTGGTTAAAATGATGTTAAAACACTGTTAAAAAATATATTTTTTCAAAAGAATGAGGCTCAAACAAGGGCTTAATTTAGTTTTCTAATATTATTATTAATATTAAAATTTAAAATTTCACCTGATTTTTGAATAAAAAATCGTTAAACTTCATTTTTGAATTGGAAAATTTAAAAACCTGCTTTGGTGTAATTTCCTCATAGTAAATTTGATCTGGCCATTTTGAAAACTCTCCCTTAAATTGGTGGTAATTTGAGAGGTGCAGTTTAGCCCTTGTTGGGTGGCCATTTGTTTTGGAAAAATATTATTTTGAATATTGAATTTTTGAAAAATGTCTCTTTAAAAATGTAAATTTTTTTTTTTAATTTATTATATGAATGTGTAATTGTAAATGAGCATATAGAAAAAAGATTTTAAAAAAGTGGTAGACAAACAAGGCTTACCATTAAATTGAACGAGCGAAAAACCGTAAAATACCTTTATACCAGTCTCCGAACTCTCCCCATCCGGCTTTTCTAGCCAATTCCATCGCTGTTAACACTGCACCACCGGCAGTTCCTTCTGGAGTCTTCTCCATTGACGAGATATGAGTGGGCACGATTCCAAGTACTTCTCCACCACCAAAAAGGGTGAAATCCCCGAGCTCAAAGAAGAACTTCATGCCCAATACAAGGTCTTTCATCGCTCTCTCTGTCACTATTTCTGCTTGTGCATAGCTGGAATAATTGTAATTATGCTTTTGATTAATTGTTTTTAAACTTTGATTTGTGGAAAAATTTGGATTTTACATGTTGATCTTCTTTTATTTGAGTCTTGATTTTACTGCTATTCCTATTTCTCCATAGATTTGGTGTGCATCGATGTCAGATCAATTGATTTTTCGGTTGGATTTATGATTTTTACTGCATATTCGATTTGCATTTGGTTTATTGATTTGTGCCGTTCTGAAGTACTCATTACTCGATGTGATTTGGTTCGGCATATCATTGTTTCTACCGTGAAATGAAAAAAAAGATGGAGTTTATGTTGTATGATTATTCATTTTTTTGTACTACTTGAAATTTTAACCTAAATTTTAATGATTTGTGATATGCACGATGGAATGATATAAAAAAGAACTAGCTCTTGTCAGTGAACTTTGGTCTTTTGTACTGGGGTTTGTTACCTTTATTTCCGTTTCAACGCTTCTGGATGCAGGATAAGAGAAAAGATGCTGTTAAGAAGGTAATTGCTGCCATGACAGTTGGGAAGGATGTGTCCTCACTCTTCACGGATGTTGTCAATTGCATGCAAACGGAAGATTTGGAGCTGAAAAAGCTTGTGTATTTATATCTCATCAATTATGCTAAAAGCCAGCCTGATCTTGCTATACTTGCAGTGAACACGTTTGTGAAGGTAAGATGCAACTAAATTTAGTCTTTTTCAAATGGTTATATTATAATTTTTGAATGTTGTTATCAGTATGTATACAGCTCAAATACCATTTGCCTTTTAAACTGTTTTAGGTAATTATTTTGCCATCAGTCATATTTTCAATTAACTAGTGCATTTTTTTACTAAATCTTTAAAATGAACCAAGTATTCTAGTTCTTATTCCGGCTAAAGGTTTTTCTTAGAATGGATTCCAATACTTGCTATCCTTGGTTATATAACAAGTAAACAATTTAAAAATATGCTGGAAAAATGATGATTTTCCAATTAATTAATTTATCCAAATAATTCAATTTCATAAACATAGCTGACTCTAGGGACACCAAAAAAAAAAAAAAAAAAGTAATATATATATTATATAGCCCCCGTTTGGTCCCCATTCTTGCCAAATTTTAATGGTTGGAATAGGTTTTTTTGAATAATGTGTGGTTGAAAAAGAATGAGAAGTTTTTGATTTGCATATAATATTATTTTATGAAAGATTGTGTGGTTGAAAATAAGAGAGAAAGAATGAGAATGAGAATTGGGGCCAAATGGGGGCATACACACACACACACTAAGGCTTGTGGATGGGTTACTTTTGTTTTTGATAGGAGGAATATGGAAAGCCATGGTTACATGGACATAAACTGTGGGGATGAATGGGAAGGAAGAGAGAAAGAGAGAGAGAGTCAGGTTTAAGGCTTTCTGGAGTTTGAGATTATCCTATTTAGTATTTAGAGGTAATGCAGTGGATGCAGTCACTTCTCTGACCCTGGAGAAAAGATTAGTCCTATTTCTCTGTTGTGTTTGGGCACAGTAATTCTTTTGTAGGGTCAACATGTCTTAAAAAATTTGTTACTTTGTCTTGCTTATTTCACTGTTTGGTTTTCATAGGAAAGCATCCTATCCATTTCAATCAGCTTCTTTTGTGCTTCTTATTCTGTTAAGGAGTCATAGAATTAATTTCCAATTCTTGGCTTGATTTGCTGGATTATCTTCTCTGCTATTCCTGTTTATATTTTCTGGATAGTTTATGTCATAATAGCCAATCAGCTTTTACTATACCATACAAATGGCTAAACATTTCAGTATAAAGGAAGTATCTTGCTGTTGAATTCACAACACAAGAAACCAGAAAAGAGTCGCCACACACACAGAACAATTTCTGAAAATTGATTTAAAATAACAGAACAATTAAGTGGTTCGAAGTACTTCTCCTACATCTGCCGGAAAATCTTTCAGGCTCCTTTTCTCATTAACACCAAGAAAAAAAACAGTTCACTTATTTACAGGAACTCAACTCAACTGCTTTTTTTTTTACTGTAGAAAAACAATCAATTAGAGAACCTGTGTTACGTGGCTATCAGCTCTTGTTAACAAACTAACCAGTAACTGCTCACAGACAATGGACGCATAACTACTTGGCAAGTGTTAGCTGAATAAATTAGCAAAACCAACACTTGCTGGAACCTGTGACTGAAATTTTCTATTCTGTATTCTGAAGTTATTATGACGGGGCTGTCATTGATGGATTAATTTGTATGGACATGTTTTTGTAGGATTCACAGGACCCAAATCCTTTGATTCGTGCTTTGGCTGTAAGGACCATGGGCTGCATTCGTGTTGATAAAATTACAGAATATTTATGTGATCCATTGCAGCGGTGTCTCAAGGTCACTTCATTATTCCTTATCAATCTTGTTTTTGCAGTTTTCTACGCTTTTGGTCATTTTACTTCATCATGACTGGAATATTGTACTGCTTTGTCCAATAACTGTTAACTGAGTAATACTATTTCCTTCAATCTCAGGATGATGACCCATATGTTCGCAAGACGGCTGCTATATGTGTCTCTAAACTCTATGACATAAATGCAGAGCTAGTTGAAGATAGAGGTTTTCTGGAAGCTCTCAAGGATTTGATATCTGATAACAATCCAATGGTTGTCGCGAACGCTGCTGCAGCGCTTGCCGAGATTCAAGAGAACAGTAGCAGACCTATTTTTGAGATTACTAGCCACACACTTACGAAGCTTCTTACCGCTTTAAATGAATGCACTGAGTGAGTTATGGCATGGAAATGTCTCGTTGGCAATTAATTTGGATGATGAACTCATACATACACCACCCATTTCTACACACATAGACATCCATATCTGTACATGTTTATGAAAGTTTTTAACTTGATGTTCAATTACTACTAATGTTTGTGTACTAATGCTTGACGCGCACCTCTATGAAAGTTACAGTTTAGAATATATTGACTGGCCTTCATTGTTACAATGTCAGAACTTGACCTGAGTTATTACAGAATTGAAGATTTTTCTATTATTCTACGCCAAAGTCTTCTGTTGTCTGCAATTTCTGATATGAAGTTGAATTTAAGTATCTAATTGTTGTCAGGGAGTTAACTGCTTAGTTTTAAGTTTGCCGACTATCTATTATTGGCTGGTAACTTGTGGATTAATGGCTAATGTGCTTACATCTCATGTTTGGTAAATCTTGTTTATTCCATCTCATATTTGGATTTGCAAATAAGATGCACTTTTAATGTTTTGTGACGCCTATCATTTCTGAACCATAGCAGTTGCATGTGATAATTAGACAAGATTTTACTTTTGGTTTGCTCAATGAATCTGTATTGATATGATACCAACTATAGGTGGGGTCAAGTGTTTATATTGGATGCCCTTACCAAGTATAAAGCAGCTGATGCCCGTGAAGCTGAAAATATAGTTGAGCGAGTCACTCCGCGACTGCAGCATGCAAATTCTGCAGTTGTTCTTTCAGCTGTCAAGGTGATAATCCTTTTTACTTAAACTTTCTTCCATACTATTATTAGCAAGTCTTTCCAACTCTAGCTGATTTTCTTTATTTTTCCTTCTTAATATTACCATTCATCTGTTTCTTTAGCAATCATAATTAGTTATGTTTCTTCTTTCTACTGAATGCTATTACAGTTGATCCTTCTACAAATGGAGCTAATCACCAACACCGATGTAGTTCGGAATCTATGCAAGAAAATGGCCCCTCCGCTTGTGACATTGCTTTCTGCAGAACCTGAGATTCAGTATGTTGCATTGCGAAATATAAACCTTATTGTACAAAAACGGCCTAGTATCCTTGCCCATGAAGTTAAGGTAATTAATTGCATATGCAACTTGAGTTTGTATTATAATGTGGCTGTAAACTGATAAATGCTGTGTCTTTTTTCCCTCCTAGGTGTTTTTCTGCAAGTACAATGATCCAATTTATGTGAAGATGGAAAAGTTAGAAATCATGATAAAGCTTGCTTCAGACCGAAATATAGACCAAGTAAGCTGACTTTAATTTGTGTTTGTCTCAAATGGGTTCTGTTCCATCTTCTTGCTGACTTGGATCTACACTTACAGGTCCTATTGGAGTTCAAAGAGTATGCTACTGAAGTAGATGTAGATTTTGTCAGAAAATCTGTTCGGGCCATTGGACGCTGTGCCATCAAGTTAGAGCGGGCAGCCGAACGGTGTATTAGTGTCTTGCTTGAATTGATCAAGATCAAAGTAAACTATGTTGTTCAGGAAGCTATTATAGTGATTAAAGATATATTTAGGAGATATCCCAACACGTATGTATTCTTCTTTTTGTGGGTCTTATCATTATGTTCTTGAAAGGGCAGTAAATATTTTTACCAACAGGTGTTCAAATAATTTTGTCATCATAAAGTTTAACAATTTCATTTCTCTGTCAGCTATGAGTCCATAATTGCTACGCTTTGTGAGAGCTTAGACACCTTAGATGAGCCAGAGGCAAAGGTATTTAAACGAGACATGAAATATTTGCTTCTCTTCCTCTATGTTTAGTTCAAGAATTAATATTCTAAGTTTTTTACTCATACTTCTTCTACAGGCATCAATGATCTGGATCATTGGTGAATATGCTGAAAGAATTGACAATGCTGATGAGCTCCTGGAAAGCTTTTTGGAGACTTTTTCTGAGGAACCTCCAGAAGTCCAATTGCAGCTGCTGACAGCGACAGTCAAACTTTTCCTTAAGAAGCCAACTGATGGCCCACAGCAGATGATTCAGGTATGCATTATTGTCTCTCCCACAATTCATGGGTGTGAATTGGGACTAGCTGTGGCCAAGAAGAGTTTTGACTCCGGAAAAAAAGGATAATATGGTAATGGTTGAGTTTATTTGTATGCATAATGCTCCTCCCATCTTTGTGCAATCAGATTAGAAGTTTAGCATGCAAAGGGTTGACCGTGTTTATAAACCTTTTGTTACAAAAAGACCATGAATTTGAATTCTATGCGTGAATATGCACATAGCTTAGTGGCTGCATCAGTATCAGTAGGTCAATTACAACTTACGGAACCAACGAGCTACCTTCAGAAATCATTGAAGGGTTGATCCTGTCTATAAACCTTCTGTGACAAAAAGACCGTGAATTTGAATGCTATGCATGAATATGCACACAGCTCAGACGCTGCGTCAGTGTCAGTATGTCAATTACAAGCTTACAGGACCAATGAGATACCTTCAGAAATCAATGACAAGGAGAAGCTTACTAGATCTTTATCTGGAAATACTGATGCCTATTTTGATGATTTTCAGCATTTACAGTTACTGAGTTTTGTGCTTCTTGATCTCATTTTTTGCTATATATTCTCAAAATTGACTTGATCACCATAATAGGTTGTTTTGAACAATGCAACTTTGGAGTCTGACAACCCAGATTTACGAGACCGTGCATACATATATTGGCGTCTCCTCTCAACTGATCCCGAGGTTTGTATTTCACTTTTGTTCGAGTTTTCACTTTATAAACTGCTGTTTCATCACTCAATTAGATTTCCATCTTCTTGTTCATTTTGGGATGTGAAAAGAAGCTTTACCTGTTATCGAAGGTCACAGTAGGGATTTTGCGGGGATAAGACAAAATAGCAACATTGATAGCATAGGATGCGAAAAAAGGATTGGCGAAACCTATCTTGTGATTCTTTTTGCTGCTTTCTCTTTTAACAAATTCCATTTTCATTTCTTCCTTATGCATTATGAATATGATTAGTAACGATGCGACTATTTTCTGGTTTGTGTACACTATCTCCTGAGATCATGCGTAGTTAAGATGGCCAATTTGGATCGTAAAGCCATACTTTGGTCTAAACATCCATGTTTGTGTTTATATGCATCTAATTGGATTTGTTCTCTCTCTCTCTCTCTCTCAGGCAGCAAAGGATGTTGTTTTAGCTGAAAAGCCTCTTATTGGTGACGATTCTAATCAACTTGATCCTTCTCTCTTGGATGAACTTCTTGCCAATGTTGCTACATTGTCCTCTGTCTTTCACAAACCTGCTGGTGCATTCGTAACACGAGTAAAGACAGTGCAGAGAGCCGAAGAAGATGATTATACTGATGGAACTGAAGGAGGGGATTCTGAAACACCTGCCCATGCATCTGATACTGGTGCATCACCACCATCTATCAGAAGGCAACCAGCTGCTGCACCTGCAGCTCCTCCATCCATGCCAGATTTACTTGACCTGATGGGCTTGGATAATGACAGCATTGCTATTGTATCTGTTGATCAGCCTGAAGCCCCTTCTGGGTATGTAAATTTGAAGTCAATCATATGCTTCATTTTCAGATAGCTTCCTATTAATCTATTATGCTATCTGAAATTGCTATAAGCTGTTACTTAGTGGTTTGCTTTCACCATTCCTGTTGTGTGTATAATCACTCACAGACGCCTTCCTATTTCAGACCACCTTTGCCAGTTCTAGTACCAGCATCTTCTGGTCAAGGTTTACAGATCAGTGCACAGCTGATCCGAAAAGATGGCCAGATATTTTACAGCATGTTGTTTGAAAACAACTCTCAGATTCCCCTTGACGGGTTTATGATTCAGTTTAACAAGAACACATTTGGTCTCGCTGCAGGTGGACCACTGCAGGTAATTACTAATAGTAATCAACAAATGTATGCCTTTTGTCCGTCTCTCCCTTCTAAATTGACTTGCGGTTCTCAATCAGGTTTCCACATTGCAACCTGGGGCATCTTTCAGCACTCTTCTGCCCATGGTTTTGTTCAAGAATGTTTCTCCTGGTCCGCCGAGCCAACTTCTGCAAGTTGCTGTGAAAAACAGTCAGCAACCTGTTTTGTACTTCAAGGATAAAATGTCATTGCTGGTATTCTTTACTGAGGATGGAAGGATGGAGCGTTCGACTTTTCTTGAGGTAATTAGTTTTCTTAATCTTTGTGCTTAGTACCTGACATATTAGGTAAACATAATTGGACTGGAATCTAATAGACAATTGACAAATATTGGCACATGATTCTCTTAATCCTATGCAACTTTTACCAGTCCATGACCCATATGTTTAAGGTGATGTGATCAAACTTAAGCGCCCTGTTTGAACCACATTTAAAAAAAAAAAAAAAATACATTTTTAAACAGTGATTTGATATCATTTCAACTACACATTCTTCAATAAAATAATATTACATGCAAATTCAAAATTTTTCCTCATTTTTTTTTATGACCGTGGATGTTCGAGCCAATTTACGCGCACCTCGAATAATCTCACGGGGCCCTAAAGTTTACAATCTGGTACTCATTTTAGTGGCCTTGAGGGAACTTGAACCGGTGATCATTGGAGAATAAACCAAAAGCCTGACTACTGAATTATACCTCAGGGTTCTTTTCCTCATTTTTTAACTACATATTCTTTACCAATCTACTGTTCCAAAATACATTATTTCGAAATAAGGTGGTTCAAACACACACTTATATGATCTAAACGGTAGAAGAGAACTTTGGGCTTGTTTGGCCGCACTTTTGACAAACCAAGAGTTTCTTCAGAGACCTAGAAGCTGCTTTTAGGTCCATTTGGATAATTTTTTAAAACTACTGAATTATACCTCAGGGTTCTTTTCCTCATTTTTTAACTACATATTCTTTACCAATCTACTGTTCCAAAATACATTATTTCGAAATAAGGTGGTTCAAACACACACTTATATGATCTAAACGGTAGAAGAGAACTTTGGGCTTGTTTGGCCGCACTTTTGACAAACCAAGAGTTTCTTCAGAGACCTAGAAGCTGCTTTTAGGTCCATTTGGATAATTTTTTAAAAGTGCTTCGTTTGGTTGTAAAGCTTTTAGAGTAAACTAACTCAATGTGGCTTACTAAAGCTCGTCTATAAAAGTCAGAAGTAGAAGCTCTGCTGCCCTTTGTAGGTTAATTGAAATTACGTTCTAGGAATATTTTCCGCCATGCAGTTCTCGTCATGTAGTCGTGCACGTTAATTTGCAGAAATTGATGCTTTTTCACTTCTCCACACTGCAGATGTGGAAATCACTACCGGATACAAACGAGGTTTCTAAAGACTTCCCATCAATTGGGGTAATTAGCATTGAAGCAACCTTAGATCGGTTGGCAGCATCGAATATGTTCTTTGTAGCCAAACGCAAGAACGCAAATCAAAATGTGCTGTATGTGTCGGCCAAGATTCCTCAAGGAACCCCCTTCTTAATCGAGCTTACAGCAGTTATCGGTACGCCTGGTCTCAAGTGTGCAATCAAAACTCCAAGCCCGGAAATGGCCCCTCTTTTCTTTGAAGCCATTGAGACTCTCCTCAAGAGTTGAGTATGCTTTTTCTCCACTTTTATGTTACTTTCTTAGTATGTCCTTATTTTGTCTGTTGAGATGAGATTTTTTAAATAATTGTAATTTTTTTGATATGCCCGAGCTTTAAGGTTTTTTTACGGCATGTTGCATAGTACTCGATTTTATATTAAAGAACATAAAACAAAGTTAAAATTTTATTAATTATATTGTCTAGTCCTTACTCATATTGACTCATTTTCGTTCCTTTTGCACATTTACGGTATTTCTAGTATCAACATGTTGGAGTTATGCATGTTCCTTTTTTTTTTTTTTGTCCCAATTGGATAGCGGATTTTTTTTTTTAATTTAATTATTTTATTACGAAAGTTCTTAACGTAGTGCACGGTACACCATATTAAACCCCTAAGAAAGTAAATGCAGATAGCAGAATGGGGATCCCACTTTTACGCCCCCAAATATATTTGAAATCTCTATCTTCTCCTGCGCTCCAGCTGCATCGAAGAAAGAGCGGACTTCAAACCAAATACAAATTTTCACATAAAATTTTTCTTTTCAATTACGGGCTCATATAATCTACGCGCCACTGTACAAACGAAACAGAAGTAGGCAGTGTTTGCCAAATGTTACACCCTGATTCAATAGAAAAATTGAATTTGGATTACTCAATTCTTGTATAATCGCAAAGGGCACAAAGTAACATTTATTGGCAACTTACTGAAATTTTTTAGAAATAAAAAAGTATAAAACTTAATTTAAATTTGATCTTATTTTTTTTTTAAGAACTAACAAACAAACAGAGCCCTAAACTGAGGGAGTTCTTTTACTTTGCCAGGATAAGACCCGACAGCTGTTGTACTTAACACGTGTACTTAGTGTGTGTTCCTTATTCCTAGTTTTACCGATTACTTCTTCACATCATACGGCTCGGTTCGACTCGGGCTTAAAGTTGAACATTGTAAGTTGAGCTCTTGTCAGAGTATTATATTAGTTGTCAGTTTTAAAAAATGTTACAATTTGTTCTTCAACTTTTCAGTATAACCAGTCCCTAATAATAAAAATAGGGTATTTCAAAGTTTATAAGTTGCAAGTTTTATGAAATATGTAGATGAAAATAGAATTTAACCAATTTATAAATCATTATAAGTTTGACAAACATGTCAATAAATTAGCAAATGATACTCATAAAAACATATATCACTTTAAACTTTTAGATAATACTTTACATTTGGAAATGAAATCGAACGTCAAAAAGTTGGAGATGCACAAAATAATGCAATGAAGATTTTAACTATTGTCATAAATTGAAATTGCAATACGTTGGAGACGTAACGTGATGTAAAATATTTTCTTAATCCTAAATTTTTTATTTTCAAAACGTTACTTTTATCATTTTGAATTTAAGCCGAGCCACTACATTCTATTACCTTATTGACCGGATACCGGTAGCAGTGACCGTACAGGTGGGTCTCTCCCTCTGCAAAGTGAGCATGAGCAGGTCGTTTTCTATCATACTCCTTTAATGGCAGTTGATATGCATTTACTGCATGCCCTCTCTCTCTCTCTCTCTCTCTTATTCTCTCTCCCTAGATTCCGCTGATCTTCATCAATTGGATTTTCCTACTCTTTTGAATGTCATTTCAATTCATTATTAGGTGTCGTTTCATCGTTCTATCTCTTTAAAACAGTGCTAATTCCATTGCCCCTTACATTTATTTGAACAGGTATTCATAATTATGCCTTTTCGCATTCAATTTCGTTGTTGTTTTTCAAGATAATGTTAAAGTGAATTTATTTGCTTCTGTAATTCAAAGAAGTGAGTGTTCCGTGTGTTTGTTTAGTACAAAGGGTAGATTGAAGCACAGTGGTTCCACTAATTGGAACTCTTAATTCCCCAACGAATGCATGTGCATTTCTATTCAGAAATGATTTTTAAATTAATTTTTTTTGTGTATTTGAAATTATAATTTCTGATGTATATTGATAAATTAATGATTTATGAAATGGAGTATGGAGATATCTATTCAGAAATGATTTTTGTATGAAGAATTTATTGGCAATACATCTGTGTGTGAGAGAATGTGTGTATGTTAAGTTGATCAAATTGAACTTCGATATGTTGAATTTGAAATTCCCTGAAATTAACGTCAAATTTCATAAGTTTTCCTGTATTCTCAACTCTTAACTCATAAGAGAAATCACATTTTAGAATTTTATATGTTGATTCATTTGAAAGCTTATTTTGTACGGCTTTATGATTACCCCTCAAAATTTTCCTTTTCAGGGATTTTATCTGGAGCTTGGACTTTCTCCATGCGGTAATATTGTGGCAATATCTGGGTATCAGTCC